GGTGGTTTGTAGGACGTTGGTTTTGTCACGAAGAAATTACCCGATGACCCTAAGCTCTGTAATGTTCCTATGATTCCTCCCTCGTTGGCAGTCAATTTTACATAGCCCCCCCCTCTGTACTATGTTGGCGACGACTGATCCCCCCTTCGCTCCCCCTGAAAACCGTATGATCCCACCAATATCCCCCAATATCTCCTGCACCCCCCACCCTCCGGGCGACAGGTAGTGACTGGTTCTTAAGTTTCAGTATTTCCCCATCTCAGGGGCCATCATATCAAACAAGCACCCGTCTGTTGAGTAAGCACCCCCTCCTCCTTTACTTTCTGAAATATTAGGATACAAGGAAAACCTGTTACTATTACCACAGCGGGTTCAGTAAAAGTTAATTAATAATTAATGATAATAAATAATTAGTTTCTTTATAATCACTCACCTTGATTAAACGCCATCGTCTCCTATTAGCCGAAATTTTGAACGAGCGCCCGAGTGCTTACTCAAGGAAATTCAGTTTCTGCCTCTGTGATTGACTATCGGTTAACTACACGATACATGGGTAAGTTTTCCTTTTCCCAAGGGCATCTCAAGTTGATGAGATATCGCTTTTCTTAAATCTGCTTATCCATCGTTCGAACAATTGTTATCGTCGCTTTTGCAACTTTGAATCTCTTTTATTCTCACGCATATTATCCTCTTCGTTTGCGAAGTCTACTTTGATCAAGGATAGAGGAAAACGAAGGAAAGAGCACCTCGTCGTTCTGCCTGACAGACGCTATTTTGGTTGAGTCGATCTCTCCATGTACTCAGTTAAACATTTCTGCCTTTGGCCTCCTCCCCCAGATATTTAACAGAAGGCAATAGCACGACCCTGTGGACAGAACCCAACCTTGTAGGGGAGGCCGGATATAACGCATTTAATCAGAGTTTAATGCATAAATTAATCAGAATGTAGTAAACGAGTGGGTGAATTTTAGTTCTATTCCTACACCTCATAGGGTGGCTGACGCCATATCATAAGTAAAAAAGTAACAAAAAAAGTCAAAATAAACTAGATATATAGTCACACACTGACAAGGCATTCAGCATTCCTCTTTATTTTTAAGTTCACGTCTTTGAAAGTGAAGGCAAACAAAATCTCGTGCACCTGTCATGTGTTACCTGTCGTTAAATATATAAAACATTGCAGCAATAGGGGTTTCTCTAAAATGAAGCTAACATAAATTCGGCTCAACAACAAGAAAAGGTTCAGTGAATTTCCTAATCAACCACAACTCATCAGGAAGACTTTTAAATTAACAAGTTCTTTACCAAAGAGTTTGCTATGAGAACGTGTCCATAAGGTTACAATAGCGTGGGTAAGTCTTGTGCTTTACCTACTCAAAGGGGATTTCAAATTCCCAAAAAAGCTCATAATTTCGCTGCCTTTGTTTTATTTTCAACCAAGCTTATATGGAGATAGGAGATTTTATTCAAATTAGTCACTCCTCAAATAACTTTGGAGACACTTTTATTTCTGCGGGGAGACCTTTCATGTCAGAGCTATCAAGCAGAGGTTTAACAGTAAAAAAAAAATTATGTAAACAATCTATAAGAAGCTTCTAATTCACAAAATATATCTAAATGGGCAGTATTGTCAAGTGTGGTTAGGTAAATGTCTTTCACAGTTTACGAAAAATATTGTTGTTCAATTCCGCTTTAATTCGACCACTCCCAGAAATAAGAGTTTTCAACTTCGAAAGACAGAAACCCCTTATCTCAGCGTGATCATTAATTGCTGTTAGCAGCCTCTTTAACGTTATAATTTATAAAAATAATATAATTATTCTCTCTTGTTTTCTGTCATACATCCGCTGACGATCCTCTCTTTACTGTGATCATTTTGCGACGGACAACTGCAATCACCACGAGGCACAACACAGCAAACATTCCAAGAACAACAGATACACCAATCAAGGGGTGCTGCCACGGAGAATCTGAAGATGGAAGATAAAATTAATATCATTCTCAATTTTTGAAACGAATTAAGGATGAAATGAACTTTGCTTTTCTGCTTCTTGTGAAGCATTAGCCTTTAGACCAATTATATGCCAAACTGAAACAATCGCACCAGTCTCCCTCGCTCCAGGCCGGGTACGTGCATTGCAATTCTCATTGGCTCTCTCTGATATTTTCTTTGCTCTGATTGCCCTTTGATCTTGATTTTTGACGCGAAAAATGTTTCAATATTCAAACAAGCAAAAAAGAAAACAATAACATCTAGCGAATGAAAAAAAAAAACAAAAAAAAAACAAATATATTAAACTTCAAAATCAAAAACAAAAGTACTTATAAATTCTTTGAACAAAACAATTTAAAAGGTTTTTTTGGTCCTGTTTTAAAGAGCAGAAAAAGATACAAAAAAAGTTATAGTATCTAGCTTTCTTGATTTGAATTATTCCCTCCATTAATTCATTAATGAAGAGAGTTTGCTTTTCAATTTAACACATAAATTATTACTGTTGATAATATAACCCTAAATTCTGTACCTTGAACCCGCTCAGTGTTCGTTAACCAAATTGGGCCATGGCTGAGTAACGTGATATGCACAGGTGCACTATATGGGAGGGCTCTGCGATGGCGGTTTCTGGGAAGTACGTCACAGTTTTTGGAACACTCTGAGTTTGGATCTGATGAATTGCAAACCACGGCCTGGAAAATAAAGAGAACAAGATTGGTTCCACTGTGATTCATACACAGCTCGATTCCAAAACACGTTAAGTTCACGGGAAGTTAATTATAACATACTTGCCGCAGCCATTGGTTTTGAAATTCCCTTACTTTTCCCTGAAATATGTAAAATTTCCTAGACAAACGGAATTAACAATTTGACGAATGTGTCCTTACGGCCTCCAACCTCCCCTCACAGCCATCCTATCCACCCATTTATAAATGCACGTCACCTACAGGAACAACTTTTAACTTTTAAAGTTTTTGTGGACGAGTACCGAAAAGCTCAAAACTTGGAATGTCTCTGAACTAGGAAACCTGTCATGGGAATCTTTTTTTTTATCTTCACTTCTACGGAAAAGGTGTTCAGAATAATGTTTTAGGGCAAATGCGCCTTAAATGTGTCTTTTACCTTGCAGTGGATGTACACAAACGGATCCGGTGAGTTGACAAACTGGAATGTTTGAACACTAAACCGGTGAAGGCCCTTGTTGTCATCATTATGGTGATATTGCACCGTGGGATCCTGGGGACAACTGCAAAGAGATCAACGGGACACTATGATGAATCCGTGGATTTACTTTCTTCCACTGAGTGCCTACGGTGAGCTACGCGTCCAGTTTACTGCTAAGTCAGCGAATTCGAAAGCCTCCGAAAAATTGTGAATTTTACGCTCGAAAATCAAACCCATAATGATGTCTTAAGTCTTGCGAAAAGCGCGGGACAAATAAAAAGTTATGTCTGGAAAGCCTTACCCATTCAGAATAAGATTGTACTGTATGGTGCTGTTCGGGTTTGGATCAGGAGTTGCGTGACATCGCTGAGCCTGCACAGCCAAGCGACGATCTTCAGAGTCGACACTAAGTTGAAGGAATACTCTCTCATTTACTTTCACTCCTATAGGGAAGCTTTGGTCACCATAGGGACGAGTATAGCCCTGATCTTTGAAGACTCCCAAGTTTATGTCGAACATTCCGACATCAGAGGCGTTGCCTCGGATAATTTTTCTGCTGGTTTCCAGCTGAATGGCGCTGGCTTGGACTTCCTTTAGGTAACAGCATCTGAAGTTTATAATTGCACAACAATATGTGTCGTAAACTGATATACTTATTTACTTTACCAAAGGCACACGACACCAAATAATATCGGCATCTAGAGAGGCCTGCAAACAGAGGTTTGCATGAGGTCGAACACTAATTTATAGTGCCACGTCCCCTGCACATCCCTCCTCGACACGTCTCAAATCCTCCCGTGAGGCGAAGAAACACGCGTCTTGCAGACGCAATAATAACGTGGGTCTGCGATCAGCCAAACACCCTGAGAATATTAACAGCAATTACTAACGATGAGGAGATGATTGGAAACAGTATGAGGTTGATGATGCCCATGCCCACAACAAAAACTTCCATTTTTTTCCGAGGGGAAAAATAAAAGACTTGATTTTCTGTTTCAAGTATCCGGCAATTCTAACTCATTAAATGATGGCTGTAAATGAGTTTGAAAGTTTGGAATTCCAAGGTCGATAGATATTCTCTGGGTTTGGCGACGAGTTTTTATAGAAAAAAGGAACTCGTTTCGAAAAAGAGGCCAAACGTAATAAGGAAATGGGCTATTCAGATCTATACAACATTTAGGCAAAAAGAAAAGAAAAAAACCCTGTGAAAGCAATAAAACGACTACACTACCTGAATGGAATATCTACGTCTGCTAGCCTCGTAATGATGCCCTGTGGCGGCTTCTCTTGGATAGTGTTTTCATAAATGAAGAAGTTATCTGTATCTATCAGCTTCGTTCCACAGGAAGTAAAGTTTGTTTGAAACAGGAAATGCGTACCATTATCGGTTGGGAGGCATTTCGGGTTGTTTAGGCGAACGTCAGTTCTGCGCATACCCATAAGGAACGACTTGTCCAGAATCACCTGTATGAGTGTCTTTCCACAGGAAATTGCTAAATGCTCGTTTATGACTTGAAGTGAAAAAACAAACACACAAACGAACAAGCAAAAAGAATAAAAATCAGAAATCAGTTATTGACTAAGGGTGGGAATGGTTGAATGGTTTCGGAAAACATTAACACACATAAAGCTTATCCGCCGAAATCAAATTTTCGTTAGGTCTGTTTTTTTTTATACCTGTGTTTGAGAGGAGGGGATAGCTTTAGATAAGGGTTTATTATGGGAAATGTTTAATTACCTGTATTCCGAATTGTTTTGTTAAATTTAGGAACACCAATGACTCAGTATGCAAACTAATTAGAACTGGTAAAAATATGCCTGGACCGCTTGAAATAGGCTTTTACTATTTTGCAAAACGAAACAAAACGAAACGAAACCAGGCGACATTATAACAAAACTAAAGGAATAATGAAGATGTATTTTGTAATAAGGTAAAAATAATTTTCACAAGGATTTTGGAGTAATCTTTAGTTGACAAGGAGGATTTTTATTCATCTCGCAAAGTGGTAATTAAAGAAGAGTTCCATTTTGCGAAATCGACTAATAGTCCATTTCGCAAAATATAACTCTCCTAAATAACTATTTTGCGAGATATATTTAAAACGGTTTAAGAAATAACAGTAGGCCAAACTCTTTATTGATATACTAGTTTGTAATGTTTAAATTTTTTTTATGACATGAAAGAGGTCACGTTGTCACCGCAGGGTGAAAATAGTCAATTTAGCGAAATAATAACTCTTCGGAAATTACTACTTTGCGAAATGAATAAAAATCCTTCTTATCAATTGACAATTACTCCAAAATCCATTTGAAAGTTTTCTTTCTATTTTTTTCAAGAGAAACGTGACTCATTCAGGGAAGAAGGTGTCACTTTTTAGGTTTCTAGTAACGGTCGATCGATTTATTTCATTCAACTTTTGCCTTGTATGTCCTTGACCATCTTAAAAACCATACGCAAATTACCGAAAACATATTTCGTCAAAACAACTTAAAAATGAAGCAACAAACCTGTGAAGCCTCCAGTTGCACCAATGCTTTCTTCTCTTTCTAAGTCCGAAAATTTCACAACATTTCAATCGAAGTTTAAAAATGTCAACCTAATATTTAACTCCCAAGATCTCATTATTAATTCTCCTTACTGTCTGCCATACAGTTCTTCTGATGTAAGTTTGGAGAATTTTGTATTGGATCAACTTATAATCCCCTAACTGATATTTTTCTTCGTTCTCATCACTTTTCTGCTTGATATTGTATTGATATTGTGAGGAGAAATTCTCTCTCTGTCACTCATGGGAGTTAAAGGGTTAAGAACGGGAATGGTTACCTGAAGATAGTATGTTTGACTATCTCATACGTGCAAGCGAGTCTGATTCATCGATAAGATAAGATCATGAATCAGGAGGCCGAAACTGCATCATTACATGAGTCATTCTCTACTGACATCTAATAGCGTTAACCCTTTGACCCTAAGAGTGACCAGCATCTAATTTCTCCTTACAATTTCACCCCAAATCACACATCAAGGTCACGAGAATAGAGGAAATGATCACCAACAAAAAAAGGCGCTTGAGTGTTAAACAAATTGTTCTTGTCAGCACCATGGGAAATTTTCAGAGAACAGTGTGTAGAATTTGCATGGTGATGTTCGGATGTTAAAGGCTAAAGGTTCAACCCTACTCTTGGGGCTAATGCTATCGTTCTTTCACCTGTGTTGCACCGAATCTCTGGAACACGCATCACTAAAGGTATTTTTGAGGTAGGTTGAAATCTACTCTTTTTGGCGCATTTCGCCGAATTAAATTTAATAAAAAGTAACGTAGTAAAAACCATGGCGTTTCGACGATGATATGTCACCATTGGCAAATGCAAATGAGAAAAGACTCCATTCCAGCACAACTTTTTACTTAGTTGTTCCATTGTTTTGTTCTCCACATTTTAACGCTATTTTTCTAAATGAATCATCGCTAATCTTTTCTTATTTGCATTGATAATGGCGACATGTCGTCGCCGAAACGTCGTGGTTTTATAGAGTTACTTTTCATCCTTAAATGTTTTACAAAATCTCTCGTTATCACAGCATAGATTCGTCATTTTATCATTATAATTAAAACAGTCATTATCTTTATGGATGTTATCATCCTTAACTTTTTGATCATTGTCATTATTATTATTACTATTTTCATCATTATCATAACTCTACAAGCGTCATTATTTACCTCTACAATCAAAGCCGTCCCCAATGTATCCATCCATACAAGAGCACTCGTACAAACCAATGTTATTGGTACAAAAAGCATTAGCATTACAAATATCAATTCCCAATTCGCATTCGTCAACATCTGAAAAGCACAAAAAATACGTCTTTTAGATCTGTCTGAAACTGTGGCTTTTTATGGTGTCATGAAACGAGAACTAGTTTTTTCTCGTTATGAGGCGTTCTTGACGTATTTATATTCTGGAAACATGGAAGATGAATGATTGAGTGATTGAATCATTGCTACAATTATTTTTATTTCTAAATAAGATAATCATAGTTGTAGAGGAGATGATTTAGAGGAGCTATATGTCTCACTGTTCTGAGACTTTTTTGGTATGTTGAAATTTTCCACTTCTCCTTAAATTACGATGTTCATAATTAAAGAAACAATCTGTTCCCACCTTCACAATTCTGACCGTTGCCTGTGTACCCCATTTTGCACACGCACGAGAAGACATCATCTTTACTCAGACAAACTGACTTAGAATGGCATTTGGTACAATCATCAGAACCTTCGAAAAGGAATACAGGTATGTATTTGAATCTATATCGGTTCCATGAAGTTTGCTCAATTGCTAAGAAGAGTTCTGAGACAAATCTAGTGATTTATTTAACAACGTTTATTATTAAGCGGAGTATCTGGATATACCTATTTGGAGGGCGATATTATCGTATGAAAAACATACTTCATGTAACTTTTTAGAATGCTTCCTGTGTATAAGCGCACGACCGCAAAAGACGCAAGAAAACTTAGAATCAACGAAAATAAACCCTGTAGCATCAGCCAAGAAACGACACGTGTTTGTTGATTGGTTTACTGGAATCCGGATCGAGAGGAATGGATTCGAGTCTTAGAGGGGTCATTTTATTACGGTCTTGGGCAAGACAAGTTACTTCTCAAAGTAACTGGAAATCAAACTGGTCTCTTTCAGGAGAGTGGCAATACCTATGATAGCTTCATGTTTAATAAGATTATAAACAAACAAATTAGGATGAGCTACGACAGGATCAACGACTTGGGTCAAAAGGCTAATTTTAATCAACCCAATCTGCCCTAGAGGGATAGAAATGAAATTAAAAAAATAATACTAACAACAGTACAGAGGACAAAAAAAATCTACGAAATAACCAATCTTACCTTTCACGCCTTTGTTAATGATCTTTTGAGCGATAGCATTCCCATCGTCATCATCGTCTATTTGGATGACGATTCCTTTGCTAGGAGCAAGTCTAGACAATTCATCTAAGTCTGCAAGAGAACCAATAGCCACGGGCAAAAGAGTAATACCGCTGTCTTCAAACTCTTTAGCTGAGACCGACAACACTTGAGGAGAGTTCACTGACTTTTGATCAATCAAAACTACCAGGATCTTCTTGGCATCCGGTCGCGGTGGAGCATTTTCAAACATTTTCTTAGCTTGATCGAGAGCATTCTTCAGGTCTGGTGTCCCTTCAGGTCTCACTACCGCGTTTATGGCGTCTTTAAAACCTTGCGTGTTCCTAAAGTTATCCGTGAAATCGATCTTGGTACTGGCTTCCTGTCCACATGTGATTAAGGAGTATCGCGTCTTCTTTGTTCCATATTCGTCTACAATAACTTCAACAGTGTCTTTCATGATCTTCAATGTTGGATCAGATAATGAGGCAAAAATCACGCCAAGATCAATTTTTGGAGTAACAGCTAAAAAAGAGAAAGAAAGGTTAAGAATTTGGAAAAATCTATTACGCCCTTTGGAAAACGTCTGGCGTGAAAGTACCTTGGCAAGTTACTCCGTCTCCAGTGAATCCTGGTTTGCACGCACAACTGTAAGAGCCCTTAGTATTCATACAGTTGGCGTTCTTGTCACAAGCTGTGGGCTCTCTTGAACACTCGTCGACATCTAACATGAAAGAGAAAGGGTCACTTCAAGACTGAGTGACATCGCTACGCAAGCTATAAACAAGAACAGTACTGAACAGAACTTATATAAACAAATACTTATGTTTAAACAAACCAATGGAGGGGTAGATATACAAAGTAATGGAGACTTTGAAGGGAGTTACAGTCCTTCATGATGATTTTAGGGTACAAAAAGCTAATTTTTTCGCAACAATCTTATCGCCGAACGTCACGCTACCAATGACAGGCACGACACTTTCACATAATTTAAAAATGGTGAGGAAGAGCGAGTTCCCAATGTGAGTTTCCTTTTCTCATTTGCGTACAGTTCAATAATTTCTTTAAGAAAACTACCTTGGCACGTTGTTCCATCCCTAGTAAACCCTGCCTTACACGCACAGCTGTAGGAACCAGCGGTATTTGAACATTCAGCATTTTCGTCACACGGGTTACGTTCCGTAGAGCATTCGTCAATGTCTGAAAAAAAAAGTGATGAACACACGGAAGTTCTTCCCCATCAAACGCCTATGTCCTTCTGATAAAAAGGGTTGAGGACATTTTTGGGTTTAAGTAATAGCTCCGTACAGAGAATGTAACAGCGCAAAATATTGATAACCTCGTTGCTGAGAAAGAAAAAGATTTCCTTTGTTATTGAATCGTGGACGTTTACTTATTGATCTATTAAATTTATAAAATGTAGCGGAAATGTGGTTGGATGAGGTGAAATGTGATGGGAAAATGCCCCATTAATGCATGGTAACAAAATCAAAGAGAGAACGTTATATCACCTAAACGCTTTAACTTGGTGCAGAAAATGAAAAATATAATTTGTTGTACGGAATAGGTCTTTGCTAGTTATTGAAAGTGCTCCGGTAAATCTTTCTTCATGTTGAACGAAATATGAACAGTGTTGGTGGCAGAATCCATGAGTTGAGTAGAAAACCTTTTTCTGATCTAAAGGTTGACTGTGCGGTAGAAGCGATGAAAGGAATGCTCTTCACTCTCCCACACCTTAACAAGAGTCGGCGAGTCCCTTTTTAAAAGTAAAGCTTTAAGAAAGCTTACTGCTGGTGCAATCAGCATTTTCGTTACCCAGTCTGGACTCCCCTGAACACTCATCAGCTTTTAGTTTAAATAAATAATAAAGTAGGAGTGGTAAAGAGGTGGCGAAACGTCAGCTTACATACCGCACAAAAAGAAATCTTAAACATATCCTCTGAAAACGAACTCCAAGAAAACGTATCGTTTGCATGGTGTCCTTTATTTTGTGTAGGTACCTTCACAAGTTTCCCCGTCGCCATCAAAACCTTGTTTACAAGTACAGCTGTAAGAACCGTCATTATTGATGCAGTTTGCATTGTCGTCACAGGGACTGGAATCCGCAGAACATTCATCGATATCTGATTTTCCAAGAAAGATCCAGAGATTATCAATATTAGGAGACATTAACTGAGTTATTCTGAACGAAATAAAGAATGAGTAAAGAAACACGGAAAGAAGGTGGTTAAATGGACTAACTGACGGAACGGTCAATTGAAGTTAGCTGCGGCTGCAATCAGTATTGCTGCCACAAGGACTGGAGTCTACTGAACTCTCGTCGACTTCTGATTTGAAGGATTATTTAGTTATACCGTCATTAGTTAACGACCACACTACAACAGAACTTTTTTATGTGGACCATAGCGATGTGAATGTTTTTCGATGAAATTGTAGTGTCAGCACTAACGGAGATCATTTCGAGTATGCACGACCACACTTGAAATAAGAATAAAATTAAGAAAGATGGAAGATTGAGGGAAAAGAACCAATAAACGAAAGAACGAAAGATTAAAGCAAGGTGAAACAGAAGAATGGACGTTGCAACGGACTTATGATTAGCGAACGAACCCTGGCATGTAGATCCATCTCCTGTAAATCCTGTTTCACATTCACAACTGTATGAACCATCGACGTTCGAACATCTAGCGTTTTTGTCACATGGACTGGGAACGGCCGAGCATTCATCGATATCTGGAGATGAATCAATCGATCAGCTGTGTTCTTTAAGGACGATATTGATTGGGTATGAGTAAAAAAAAGATGATGTGATTGGCTGTTGTCGCTGATTTGGAATGCAGTTACATGGAGGGGAAGGAGATTTCCACCACTACGAAATTGTGAGAGAAATCGCAAATCTTGAATGCTGCGTACACATATGCAAAACGTGGTTTTGTTTGGCCATGTTTCATTGTAATGAAGGCTCGTTTGAGAACTTTCAAAGTAGGGATATTAACAACGGGTTCAAAGACGGGGTATGTATATACAGTGACGAAAGTGGAATGTGACGATGACGAAGTGGATAGTTTTGCAGTCGCACACCTTGACAACGTCCATTACTTCCAGTAAATCCCTGTCTACAAGAACAGTTGTAAGAACCGTCGCTATTGAAACAAGAAGCGTAATCGCCGCAAACACTTGGCTCTAAGGTGCACTCGTCGAAGTCTAATAAAATCAAGACGAAAATTGTTTATCTCAATGTCAAGCTGGGTAAACGCATTTAGAGGACTCGCAGATTCTTAAAAAGGAGATACCTTTACAGCTTCTTCCATCTCCATCAAATCCTTTCTTACAGGTGCAGCTGTAAGAACCATCACTATTAATGCAGTCAGCGTTCTTGTCGCACGGACTGGAGTCCTCAGAGCACTCGTTAATATCTGATTCGTGTGAACAATAAAATATGTTTAAGGTGTACCCAACAAGGCGAGCGTACACGTATGCCGTTTACGTACTCAATGCGATGGAAGCAACATGAAATGGTAGAACGAAAGACAGCTCGTGGTGTAGGTTACAAATCCATTTGAGGGGTGGTGCTTTGATAATGTAAAAAATATGATGAAAGATCATCATATGACCTTCCCAGACTTGCAATGTGAAATATAAACTATGACAACATAGCACTCGAGATCTCGAACAATAGTGTGGGAAGGACTCAAGAATACGATGAGCAATCCAATGAGATGAGAAACCAAGATGTATGTCGTGAAAAATATCAATTTGCAGAGACCGCACTTACATTGATGAGGAAACTGAATCAAAAGGAACTACCACAACCACAACAATAACGGTAACAAAGACAACCTGATCACAAATGATTCACTAGTGAGAATCTTGGTGAGTTAAGATGTGCATGTCAGATGAGCGATCAGGAGATAAAAACGACAGAGAACTTTAGAACCAGCCGTATCTACCCAGATAGGCGTATTTTGTGGTGGATATTTCTAAATAAATACCACATTAATCTGCTTTGATCACACCAACTCTTCTCCAAGAAGAAAACTTTTCGATCAAAAAATGTTAACATCCCAACTACCTCGGCATGAAGTTCCATCTCCTGTGAAACCTGGTTTACATGTACAGCTGAAAGACCCATCAGAATTTGCACAATCAGCGTCTGAAGAACATGGACTGGGATCCGCCGAACATTCGTTGATATCTACGTGAAATAAATAGAAGGTCTGCAGTTAAACACTTTATTTACAAGTGGTCATAATTCCACACCTAAGTTTCCTCGGGCAGAAAAAAGGACAAGAAAACACTATTACGTGTCCTTAGATGGAATAAGTCATAGCTGTTGGTTTCTAAAGTAAGATTGAACAACAATAGCTCTTTCAGTATACTAAATATTATAAAAGCTCGCTTTGTGTAGTTACCCATATAAAAAAGTGTGAGGTTTGGTTGGAATTAGTTGACGGAGCCTGTTGCATCGTGATAATTTTTCATGGCAGAAGCACGAAAACAAATTAACATATTGGATGGCTTAGAGAAAGTTGCTCACCTCGGCAAACTAAACCATTTCCAGTGAATCCTTGTTTACAAGAACAGTTGTAGGAACCTCCAATATTGGTGCACTGCGCGTTATCACCACACGGACCAGGTTCTGTTAAGCACTCATCGAAATCTAAGGAGGTCGAAGAGAAAATATTACCTCAAGTGTAACCTGTACTTACCTAACGATACAGATGTATCAAGATTTTATCTTGATAGGGATCATTCCTGAGAAATTACCTTTACAAGTTTTTCCGTTTCCATCAAACCCTTCTCTACAACTGCAGCTGTAAGAACCTTCACTGTTGGAACAATTAGCGTTAACATCACACGGGTTGGTCTCCGAGACGCATTCATCGATATCTAATGGTGTAAATTGGAAAACAATTTCATTATTCCTCTTGGTAAAACGTCTCACCGCATTAACTTTGCCAAAAAATGGATGTCATAACTATGAAGCGTTTGTATGAATTTCAACAAACTTATTCCTCATACATGTACCTTGGCAAATGGAACCATCTCCAGTGAATCCCTCTTTGCATGCACAGCTATAAGAACCGTTACTGTTGCTGCAATCCGCGTTTTTATCACAGATGCTGCTGTCGGCTGAACACTCGTCAATATCTAGTAGTATTTGAGACTTATGTCATTCAAATTGACTTCCACACCCTTTAAGGTTCCTAAACTTTACAGATAGTGCGGTTTTTTCAGGAAAAATAACTGTTGTTGTATTATCTTGTTTAGCCAGAGGCATAACCACTTCATATTCAGTAATGACTAGGCAATTCATTGACCAATTAGTTTGACATCAGACGAGATGGAGTGTGCTTTTTGAAGGAGAGCGTGGTAATTAGCCATCTTAAATCATACGGTTTTACAAAATGGTTTTTACAAACCATTTACTGTAAAATGTATCTACTTGGTGCCTACCTTCACAGGTAATGCCGTCTCCTGTAAATCCTTTTTTGCAAGTACAGTTGTATGAGCCATCAGTGTTGTTGCAACTGGCGTTATCACCACACGGACCAGGTTCTGTTAAACACTCATCGAAATCTGGTGAGATCGAATAGAAGAGATTACTTTGAGTGTAACAGGTACAAAATAAACGATTCAGATTTCTGAAAATTTTCTCTTGACATGGGTCCTAAAAAAATACCTTTACAATTTTTTCCGTCTCCATCAAACCCTTCTCTACAACGGCAGCTGTATGAACCTTCGCTGTTGGAACAATTAGCGTTCACATCGCACGGGTTGGTCTCTGGAGCGCATTCATCGATATCTAATGGTGAGAATTGGAAGGCGATTTCATTATTCGTTTCGGTAAAAGGTCTCTCTGTCGACAAATCGATGTCATAAATATGACGCGTTTGCATGAATTTGAATGAACAAGCTTTAGATCTCATACCTTGGCAAACGTAACCATCTCCAGTGAATCCCTGTTTGCATGCACAGCTATAAGAACCGTTACTGTTGCTGCAATCCGCGTTTTTATCACAGATGCTGCTATCGGCTGAACACTCGTCGATATCTAGTGGTATTTAAGACTCATGTCATTCAAAGTAGCTGTTAAACCCTTAACAGGAAGGTTCTTAAACTTTACAGAATGTTGCATTTTTTTAGAATACTAATTGCTGTTGTGTTATCTCGTTCAGCCAGAAGCATAACCTCTACATATTTAGAAATGACTGACCATTTCATCGGTCAATAGTTTGATATCAGACAAGATGGAATATGGCTTCTGAGGGAGAGGATCAGAAATCGTTACAAGTACTAGCCATCTTAAAATCTTGTTGTTTTATAAATATAATAACCTCCCGCCTACCTTCACAGGTTATGCCGTCTCCCGTGAATCCTTTTTTACATGAACAGATGTATGAGCCATCAGTATTATTGCAATTGGCATTATCACCGCATGAACCAGGCTCTGTAAGACACTCATCGAAATCTAAGGTGGTGGACAAGAAATATACTTTTAGCGACCTTTTTATCCTTAATTGAAAAGATTTTAAGACTTGAAATCGAACTTTCGCCTAGCCATTATTGAATTCTGATACCTCTACATGCGTGTATGTATGAGCCGTCAGTGTTGATGCAGTCTGCGTTTTTGTCACAAGCACTGGGATCCGTAGAACATTCATCGATATCGATCGATATTGATCGGAGAGTACCTCGGCGTCATTTAACAGATATAAAATAAGCAAAACTTTGGCCTTAGCTCGATTAGGATTACAAAGAGAAAACATTCTAATTAATTATCACGAGCGAAGGATAATCTTGCGGATCAAATTCCTCCCCCCCTCCCCTTCTGAGAAATTAACTACACCTTTCTTTCTTCCATAACCAAGTTTACACTTGGTTATGGAAGAAATTATAGAACATGCAAAAAATGTTCGTTCCAAGAATGGGCACGATGAAACCTAACTTCAGATAGTTTTCTATCCTAAGCAAATCCTTGCTGACAATTAAAGTTGTAAGAGCTGTCATTGCTGCAGGCATGCAGTTTTCTTGTCACAGCGATTGGAATCCACAAAGCACTCATCGATATTCGAAATTTCACTCAAAAAGTGTCACTGGGTGCTTGTAGAAATTTATGCACTTTTGTTCACAAAGCGATCTTTTACAACGACGTCATTTTTATACTCTTGCTTTTGAGCAAAATTATCTCTAGCACCCACAGACAGCCAACCTGAGCGCGTTTTACATCGGGTGTAAACGCCAACCTTGTTATAAATTACCTTGACAACTTGCATTCCTGCTGTCTAAAGTTATTTCCCATGTAGGGAAATACAAACCTGTACAAGTGATGCCATCTCCAGTAAATCCCTGCTTACAAGTGCAGCTGTAGGAACCGTTACTGTTGGTGCAATAAGCGTTTTGGTCACAGGGACTGGTATCCACCGAACATTCATCGATATCTAATAGAGAGGAAAAGAAGACATCAGAGGAGGGTCGACCCTGATTCGGACCATCTCCACGGAAACCTCGTTTTCAAGTACAGTTGTAAGAACCGTCTGCTGCTCATTTTTAGAAATTTAGGCAGCCTTTAAGACAAACAGTCAACCTGAGCGCGTTTTATATCAGGTGTAAACCCCAACCTTGCTCAGTATAAATTACCTTGACAACTTGCATTCCTGCTGTCTATAGATATTTCCCATTTAGGTAAATACAAACCTGTACAAGTGATGCCATCCCCAGCATATCCCTGTTTACAAGTACAGCTATAGGAACCATTACTGTTGGTGCAATTTGCGTTTCGGTCACAAGGACTAGTATCCGCCGAACATTCATCGATATCTAATCGAGAGGGAAAAAAGACATTACCACATGCTCTTGCTTTCAACAGAAGGGCCGCTTTGAAATAAGACAACCTAAGTACGGGCTAATGCTGGAAACAACGTAATTAAGTACCTTTACCACTTCTGTTTCTGCCGTCTAAAGGTATTTCTCAAGTTGGACTAAGATGTAAAGATAACTCAAAATTAAAGCAATGAGTAGCAAAATACAAACCTGTACATGCTACACCATCCCCAGAAAATCCTCGTTTACAGGCACAGCTGTAAGAACCGTCACTGTTGGTGCAATCTGCGTTTTGGTCACAAGAACTGGTATCCGAAGAGCACTCATCGATATCTAGTTTTAGAGAAAAAGTAGACATCAGTGGTAGCTCGATCTTGCACATTTATTAATATCTGAGTTCAAAGGGAAAAATAGTAAAAACTTTCAAAGGAGAGAAATATATAGTATTCATAAACTTCACAAGTTTTTCCATTTTAACTGAGTCCATGTTTACCTAAAACAGCTGTAAGAGCCGTCACAGAGCTTGGGTCGCAAGGATTTTATTCCGTAGAACATTTCATTGTTATCTAAGTTCGTTAGAGACGGAATAGTTCTAGAACTTTCTGATCAATTACATGTAGAACTCGAGCGAACACTTTCTGAAATACTGACCTACGCACGTTATACCATCCCCACTGAATCCCCGTTTACACGAACAGCTATAAGAACCTTCATTGTTGGTGCAATCGGCATTTTCGTTACAAGGACTAGACTGCGTAGAACATTCATCAATATCTAAGTCCCAAAGGAAAAAAATGATGGGGGTCTCATACCTAAAAATAAACTCGATTGAACACTCCCAGAAATCCCTTCCTTAACAACTAACCTGTACACGTTGTGCCATCTCCTGTGAATCCTTTTTTACAAGAACAGCTGTAAGAACCGTCACTGTTGCTGCAATAAGCGTTTTGGTCACAAGGACTGGAACCCACTGAACATTCATCGATATCTTGACGAGAATAAAAGAAAAAGACACGCAAGTTCAAAACATCTATCATGTACCATATAAAAAAGACATTGCATCTCCTACGAATCCTTGTTAACAAGTGCAGATGTAATCAAATGACCGTCATCAATGGTACAATCGACAAAAATTTTACGACCCTGACCCTGTTTGCAACTACAGTAGTACGAACCGTCGCTGTTGGTGCAATCAGCGTTCCCGTCAAAAGGATTAACATTTATATTGCACTCATCGATCTCTTATGGTGTGGAAGGAAAGTTAAAAAAATTACGGTTGTAGATCTCTCTGACCAAAGTAAATTGGGCACTTTATTATTAATTATTAATTATTTAATTATAGTCAGCGTTCTCGCTACAGGGATTGGTATCTCTCACACTCATCGATGTCTGATAGCATGGAATTAAATATAGAAATGAACGGTTATAAGACTAACTGACTGACCAAAATGAACCCCAACACTTACAGAAACACCATAATCTGCCATATTTTACGCCAATTAGTACCTTGACAAGTCGTCCCGTTTCCAGTGAACCCCTTTTTACAAGTACAACTGTACGAACCGTCATTATTGGCGCAATCGGCGTTCTCGTCACAAGGATTCAAATCTACAGAACACTCATCGATGTCTAATGGCAAATAAAGAAAGATAACAAGATATACTTGTAAAACTCGCCCACCGAAATAAAACTCACAAAGACAACGTGGCCCAGACTAACTTAAAATCTCCTTTACCTTCACAAGACGTCCCGTTTCCTGAGAACCCTTGTTTGCAAGTAC